ATCTATCTATCTATCTATCTATCTATCTATCTATCTATCTATCTATCTATCTGTGTATATATGTATAACAATAGTAAGTGGAATAATTATTCTATTCAAGTACAGCTCTGCCATTAATATTAATAACAATATTTTACATTTCTATTTCTTTTAACAAACATTACCTAGTAATATCAGTTGTCTTTTGCTTTAATCATCTATATTTCATATTTTATTAAACAATTGTTGAAAGCCAAGAATTACCTATAATTCATCAACCCAACAGTTATTTGCCTATCATTCATATAACAGTACTATTTGGCTCTATTTGCATGATTCTTAAGGAAACTATATTATGTATTAAAGCAGCTTGTAAACCAATTACTGAGCCCCTAGAATACAAAGACTCTCCACTGCAAAGCCCCTCCAGTCAGATTTGATGATAAATAAAGAGATTTGGTCTTTTACTTCCTGGTTAGTTCACTCTGTTGTGAATGAAAAAAGGAATGTTTGTGTCTTCTCTATAATAGTCCTTAGCTCTTCTTTGGGAATGCTTATGGAACAAAATACACAATTTGGTATAGTGGTTAAAGTGCTGGGCTACAACGGGACTGTGAGTTCTAGGCCTCCCTTAGGTATGAAAGCTAGCTGAATAACTTCAGGCTAGTCACACTCTCTCTCAGCTCAACCTACTTCACAGAATTGTTGTGGGAAAATAGGGCACAGGAATATTAACTATGTTCGCTTCCTCGAGTTATGTATATAATAATAATGATAATGCAATAACACCAGCGGAACTGCAAAAAATGCACTACTTGGAACATTATATATTTTAAAAAGATATATGGTTGATACCTGGGACACTGTCAGCAACCCATATCAACCATAATGACCAGTTATTGGTATATTTTTAATACATTTTAATACATACATTTTAAAATGTTCAGTTGACTGACTTTCATGTGTAATGAATAAAAGAGATAATAGTAGTATAAATATCTGGCTGTGTGACCAAAGATGATAATAATAGCCCTTTGTTATTATTTTGTGATGTTTACAGATGTGCTGGCAAAAATAATTTTTACTAGTGGCCCTTGATAAATCTAGTGCCTTAAGAAAAAAGATGGGGTTTGGAAATGACCTGAAATATTCTCATGAAGCTTTGCTAAAACTGCAAGATTGGGAGTTACGGCTATTGGAAACAGTGAAGAAATTTATGGCCATGAGAATAAAAAGTGACAAAGAATACGCATCCACTTTACAGAACCTTTGCAATCAAGTTGATAAAGAGAGTACGTCACAATTGGATTATGTCAGTAACGTAGCAAAGGTAATAAAATGTAATTTAATTTAAATTTAAAGTGAGTAAAATCTGATAACGATCTACAAATTTACAAACATTGTAAACACACATGATGATTTGTAAGACTGCAGCTGTAAGGATACAATTTCTTGGTTTCTGTTAAGTTCTGTCGACTTGAATAAACATAATTTGATTGTTTCTCTTGATGCTAAACTATTTAATGGCTCAGTGTATGTTTTCTGTATGGGACTTGATTTGTTTTATGTTTGAGAATTTCTTTGTGGATTTTTGGGATAAATTATATGCTTCCATTCTGAATTTTGGCCCCAAAATTTCTGTTTCAAGTACTTCTTGGTTAACAATAGCAATTAGAATATCTGTTACTAAGTGCTGCGGATATAAAATATAACTTTTGTTTAGTAACAGTAATTGCAGCATTCTTGGTTGCCATTATTAAATTACTGCAGCCGTTAAGCAAGGATATCACATTTTGCCATTTGTAACCTTCTGCCCAGTTTCTCCATTGACTTTGCATTCAAATGTACAGATCACAATCTTGTGATTCTGGGACAGCTGGAACTTGAAATGCATCTGAACAAGACTATACAGATAGTCTTTTCTTAACTATGGCAATGAGGACCAGAATTTCTATTCCTAAGTGATGGAGTTGTACAATGTGACATCATATGACTGCATTGCTTAGCAACGGCAATCCTCGCATTCCCCATTGCCATTGCTAACCAAGGATCTTGGTGTCATTAAGTAAATCCAAGCAAGCTGGCAGGAAATAAGTAGCTGCTGCTGAGCAGGGAAGGGCATGCAGGTAGCCAATGAGAATGACAGTTTATTTAGAACATCTTATTTGCCTTTTCTCTTTAACTGTTTGGATAGGCAATATTAAAATTAGTTGGAATTTTCGGATTTTACTTATTTTTCTGGCCACTACTTTTCATATGTGAATTGTTTTATGAGCCAAAATTATGTTAAAAATACAATTTAAGAGGACGTCTATTCTAAATACATATGATACAAATATTATGTAACATGTATTTTCAAACTTGGAATTAATAGCTTCTTTTCAGATGTCTCATACTAGCTAAATGTAATCTGCAGTGACTTTTGAGTATTGTTCTGTTTCTTTCCATGTTTACATATACTTTAGTCTTTGTACTTTAAAGTATGTTGTCTTTATGACCCTATATTTGAGTTGCTATTTGTATTCTTAAATATAGTCAGCTATGTTAGCAATCCTACTGTACTGTGAGCTCTGCCAATAAATACTTAAACATGTCTTATCTTTGGAAAGTTGACATTTATATTTTTGGTTTCTAAGCCAATAATAAATCTCTTTTCATCTCTTTTTAAGTCATGGTTGCTTATTGTGCAACAAACAGAGCAGCTTAGCAAGATCATGAAGACGCATGCAGAAGACTTGAATGCTGGGCCATTACATAGACTTACTGTGATGATTAAAGACAAACAACAGATAAAGAAGAGCTATGTAGGTGTTCATCAGCAAATTGAGGCAGAGATGTTCAAGGTATATTTTAAAAGTACATTTAAAATTGTTATACACATTTCATTCACTGAAAATATGTTCAGACTTTTGTCTTTGAGTGCCAATTCTTATTAACTTCTAAAGTTTAGTTATAAGCAAATATATAAATGTGTGAAAAATATTTACAGAAATAAAAGTTTCTTTGCTAAGTTAAAAATGGGAATGGAGTATTACTTCCAATTATTTTTAAATATATTACTTATAGCGAATTGTCATTGCAAATTGCAGTATTCCTAAGCTTTATAGTAAGAAAAAAAAGTCAAATTATGTTTTCAATACTTACATTTTCAAAATCAGAGAATTCAGTTTTCTCTGAAAAGACAATTTTAACCCCAACCCAGGCTCTTTTACAGTAAGAATATACAGATGGGTCTCTGCTGAAGAGTGTTGTTTCCTATCAAAATCATTGTTGTAGGCATTTGTCTCAAAAATAGGATCCATGGAATTACTCAAGCGTTGTCTCAGAATATTTCTGCTTAATAGGGCCCCACATAAGGAAATGAAATGTTCCCTTACTGATTTTTCCATGCTTTAGCTTGGTTGTATAGATAATATCTAAACTCTCATAGTATGTGTTGATATACTCATTTCTTTTCTATTTATGTTTTTGGTAGGTTACAAAAACTGAATTGGAAAAATTAAAATCTAGTTATAGACAATTAATTAAAGAAGTAAACTCTGCCAAAGAAAAATACAAGGAAGCATTATCTAAAGGTAGGTATATAATAGCAATTAAAGTATTATTTAGATTTGATTTAAGCCCTAAGACCTTTGAACATGATAAAATTTATAGAAGCTATACAGTTGGTAGACACTGTTTTGACTAGTTAGGTGGAACTGAATGGGAGAAAGAGGTCACAATTCAAAAATCAGGTGGCAATCAAATATGGCCATGCCCAATTCCCTTGCCGCGCCCGATTCCCTTTCCACACCGATTTCCCCTTCCACACCATTTTTTTTGTAGGCGCACGCAGTCAGTCTTGCTTCTGGTCACGACCAAATCAGGTTGCGACCGAAGTTACAGAATGAATTACGGTTGTGACCAGAGGTTCCACTGTATATGCTGCAGCATAAACACAATCACTTGATCCTGCAATGGCTATAATTAGGAGAATTAGTCATAAGCCCTCTTCAGCACCATTGTAACTTTGCATGGTTGCTGAACAAGTGGTCATTAAACAAGCAGTACCCATATTATAGCAATTACACTTACATATGCTCACCGCTTAGCCAGTGAGAATCGAACTGCTAGCAGTTGGGCAGAATTAGTCTACAATACTGCATTCTAACCACTATGCCACCATGGCTCTTTTTCTATTATATTTTGCATGCAATTGTATTTGATTACATTTTGTTTCCTGCCTTTGTCCTTACCTTAATATTTCTTGTTTTATTTTTCATGGTTTAAAGTGCTCTACACTTCTATCTAGAGTTAGGCAACAGGTAGCCCTTGGGCCATTTCTCGGGCCATATTCCATTTTTTGTAACCTCCCAAGTGTGATTGAGGTCACAGCAACTTTCATTGCCTCAGTTGCAGAAAATCAATGGTATGTAGTTTTAAGGAGAAAAAAACATGAAATCTGTTCTGTAGTGTTACATTTAGCATACTTTATATTATAGCAGAAAAACTCCTACATCTACAAGAAACTAAGAACAAGAAGGAATAGCACTCAATTGTAGCTTGTAGCACTCAATTCTTTAAAGTTAGTATTCTGTTATTCAAATGATGTTTATCCAGGGGTGGGATTCAAAATTTTTAACAACCGGTTCTGTGGGCGTGGCTTAGGTGGTGGGTGTGGCTTGGTGGTCATGTGACTGGGTGGACATGACTTGGTCATGTTATTGGCTGGGCGTGGCCAACTCAATCTCACTCACAGCGAGGCATGCATCTCCTCACCTGGCCTCTCATGACTGTGGGTATGCTGCAACAGTCGTAAGTTTGAAAAATGGTCATAAGTCACTTTTTTCAGTGCCATTGCAACTTTGAATGGTCAATCCACACAAGCAAAGTACCAGCAAAGGAGGGAACTCCAGAGAAGTTCCTGAGACAGGAAGTCTAGTCCTACAAAGAATGTAATAAAGGCTAATGGAGAGGCAGTTTCTGTAAGCAACATCAGAATGTTTCCTTCCTGCCTTCCTTACAGGCTTAGGCCAGTAATTTCTTCTAATAACCGGTTCTCCGAACTGCTTAGAATGTTAACAACTGGTTCTAGCGAACAGGTGCGAACCTGTAGAATCCCACCCCTGTGTTTATCCCTGCTTTGGGCTGTATACAATATTTCTATTTCAGCCAAGCTAACCCTTTCACAGATATGCATTTTTTTCAAAAGTCAGAACAAACAAGCAGTTCCTAGACATAATGTTATGTGTGCCTGACTGCTCAAGTTGTATTTTTGTGTTTTTGTTTTTTTCCTCTTCTGTCTCTTTCACAGAATTTGCAGAGGGGAAAAATAGCTTTAATAAACTATCCCTTCCTAAACCACTTTTCACAACGTTTTCCTAAAGATTATTAACCACAGGTTAACAAGCTCAGTTCTGCCACTTTAATTAATTATGCTGCTGTCTGAAATTGGTACAATCCTAATCAGTTTTCAGCCTCCCCGATGTCGGGGAGGGCAAAAATGGGACCTGCGGAGGCCTCCACAGCAGAGGTGGTATTCAACAGCTTCTGACCACTTCTGGAGAACCGGTAGCGGAAATTTTGAGTAGTTCAGAGAACCGGCAAATACCACCTCTGACTTGAGATTTTACAGTATCCTTCCCCTGCCATGCTCGCAAGCCATGTCCACAGAACCGGTAGTAAAAAAAAATTGAATCCCACCACTGCTCCGGAGGCCAAAAACATGCCCGTTTTTGGCCTGCAGAGTGCTTCTGGACACCGGGGACAGCAAAAACAGGATGTGTGAAGGGTTCGGGAGGCCAAAAACAAGGCCATATTCACTCTATAAGATGCACAGACATTTCTACCCACTTTTTCGGGAGGAAATGCGTGTTATAGTCTGAAAAATACGGTAATTTAGATTACAAGAACTTTATACAGAATCAAAGTTGCTTGAAATAGTTTTGCACGAGTGGGTTAAGTGAGAGTCCCCAAAACTATGTGTAATTATTTGATATTTGTCGCCTTTTTATTGTTTATAAATAACTCAAGGCAACAAACATAACTAATGCTTTTTCTTCTCTTATTTTCCTCACAGCAAAAATCCTGGGAGGTGGCTTGGGTTGGGAGGGAGGGAGAGAGAGAGAGAGAGGGAGGGAGGGAGGGAGGGAGGGAGGGAGGGAGGGAGAGAGAGAGAGAGAGAGAGAGAGAGAGAGAGAGAGAGAGAGATACTGACTGTCCCAAAGTCACCCAACTGGTTTTTGATGTGTCATATGGGACTAGAACTGTGCTCCTGGTTCTTAGGCTTGTACTACTAGACTAAACTGGCTTTCTTTGTAACTTTGGGAGATATAGAATTAAAAGAAATTGCTCATGTTTCCCTTTCCTGATCTTTATACTGTCTTTGCATTTGCACAGTGGGATTATATATAATGATTCACTTGTGTCTATGTTATTGCCATAAAGAGAAGGAAAGAAGATATAATTATGTACTTATCTCTCTTTTGGAAAATAGGCTTAAAGCTGTTTTAAAATGGCACAAAGCCTGCAAAATAGTTTGATTATTGTGGTCTTGTTTAGTCTGGAGCCTGGTTAGATTCAGTCATTGCACAAGTAAGAGTGTTGTTTATATGTTTAGAATAATTATATTATGCCCATATATGCAATTGAAAAGATTGGCAATACAAGTCAAAATCATTTTCGTTTCGCTTACATTTTTTTTGTCTAATTCATATCCTAATGACAAAATTTAGGTGTGCTTTGGTACAGAGTATAAATGATTTGGAAAAAAAAGAAAACAAAGGAAGCACTGCATTTTACTTTTTAAGACTTAAAATGATTAAGATATAATCCCTCACCCCAACACTTTTTGGCATTTAATCTGGAAAATCATGTAATTCCCCCCCCCCCCTTTTTTTTTTCTCTTTCAGGCAAGGAAACTGAAAAAGCCAAAGATCGTTATGATAAAGCCACAATGAAACTCCACATGTTGCACAATCAATACGTGTTGGCATTGAAAGGAGCACAGTTACATCAGCACCAGTATTATGATGCTACACTTCCTTTGTTCCTTGAGTCTTTACAGAAGATGCAAGAAGAAATGATTAAAGGACTGTAAGATGTAGTGTTTTGTCTCATAAAAGCATGTGTAGTCCTCCTAACTTTTCATTTTAAGCTTTTAGAAATGAATAGCAATGTCCTAAGCTTCTACATGTGATATTTCTAACTGGTATAAAAATTTTATAGCGGTGCAAGGCAAAAAACAGGTTTTTGTAATGTTTGACATTTTGTATGTCAGGTATAAACCTCGCGTATGAATCGATGTCACATAATTTTAATGTTTCATCTTTTTTAGTAAAATTGTAATTTACAAATAGAATTAGAAACTTTTCTGATACCAGACATCTAAAGCCCTTATATCACTGTCCTATTGTGGAATGCTCCTCATAGTTGATACTCTTTTTTTCTTAACCAGTGAGTGTTGTTTCATTCTTCTGGGCTATTTACAATTTTGTTTTTGCTTTTTCTGTTGCCCTAGTTGCTATTTATTTTTTGTGACAATTTTGTCTATCTACCTATCTAAACTATTCAATTCATTTGTTGAAGTACATGTGGGCACATCATCTATGGGTCTTGGGGGAATAATTATAGGTGGTGTGAGGAATAAAAGTTTGAGTATCAGCAGGCTGGCAACTGTTGCAGTGGAAGGGAGAAGAGGAAACATATTAACTGTTTTTTTTATCCTTGAAACCAAGCCTTGGTTTCACATCTTTAAAGATCCTGGTATTTTTTTGTCTGTTGTGCCAGATTAGTCCAAAATAAGACTGGTCGTGAGATAATGCACAATTTGATCATGGATGAGATATCTGACTTAACAGAGATCTGGCAGTGTGAGCCACATAAACCAGAATGAAACCAATTCCTTGTGCCTGGATTCTTTTTAGCAGAGGAAACCAGGAGAAGCAAAATGGAGGTGGTGTGGCTGTGATCTGTAAGAATGACATCTCCTTCACCAGGCTTTCTGAGAGAACTGTTTCTTGTTGCCTGTATATATGTGACAAATCTTTGGACTAGGAGTAGATTGAAGGTTCTGTTAGCATTCTACTTAGCTTGCTATGATTAACAGAATCTCTTACTGAGGTGACAAGATTGCTGTTGTTGATAGTGTTAGAGATGTCTAGGTCATTGGGTGCTATCAATATATTGATGAAATCTAGCTATGCATGCCAGTTGGAATCCACTGTGATTAGAGCAGCCTATAAATTAATATATTTCTATGTGATGCCTGTAAGAAACAGTCTACTGAATTTCTACCTGTGGTCATTAGTGGGCTGGATAAGAAATAACAAAATGAAACTGATCATACAATATGAGGTACTTAATATGAAAAGCCATAATTTTAGAACAGTGTAGAGTTGGGATTACACAATCCAAGAAGTAGCAAGAACATAAGTTTTAATTTTTTTTTCTAGATCTACAATTTCTCTAGTTAGCCATGTTGAAGAAATATTCAGAGCTGCCTTTTAGCAGCTTTGGTTGATTACTACGTATGTCTATATCTGGAAAATAATAACCATAAAGCTTTGTTACACTTGCTGGTAACCAACAGGCTTGACCATAGTTATATATTGTACATGAAGCTGTTTTTGTCATTTGATTGGGAACTGGTTTGTATAAAATACACTAGTTAGATTGCACCATGGAAGAATACTCTTAAGTAATACCTTTAATTAAAATACTGCAGTGGCTGCCAATCCAATTGCAAACAAAATATAAAAGAGTGGATTATTAGTGCACTTTATGGCTTTGGTCCTGGCTACTATACTGGAAAAAATCTCTCATTTTGAATAATGTTCACAATTCCTGATATCGTCAGAAGTTATTTTGTTGATAGTTTATGTAAACCCATTGGATAGCAACTCTGGATTGAATGTTCTCTGTTTCTGCCCAAGATCTTTGGAACACACTACTAGCCAAATTGAGAGGCATGATATCTTTATTAATTAAAAAAAGCTTTAAAACACATCATACTGTACAAACTGCTGATTTTAACTGTTAAATTTAATTGTATTAATTTGCTTTATTCAAAGGTTCTTATGTCTTCATTATAATTTCTTTTATTCTATTTATTTACAAGATAGACTTTGATACAATCAGTAGCATAATAAATAAACCTACAAATAGATTATTGGGAGTCTTTTTAAAGTAATGATAATTACTTTCTGAACCAGTGGTGGTATTCAATTTTTTCCCCTATCAGTTCTGTGGGCGTGGCTTGGTGGGGGAGGGTCATGTGACTGAGTGGGCATGTCCAACTTGATGTCACCCATGCCCACGCCCACTCAGTCACATGATCCCCACCAAGCCACGCCCACAGAACCCGTAGGGGAAAAAAATGAATTTCTACCTATCTACCTATTTTCTGCCTAGGCCTGGCCTAATCTGTCAAAGGCCTGGCCTAATCCTGCATGCCGCCCACTCTCCCTTCACCAGTCACACACGTCAAAGAAGTGGCTAAAAGATGCAGCAGCTGTAGGTTTCTTGCAGCAGAAATTGCCGACCTCCGTGCTCTGCTTCTCCAATGTGCCGCCGCAGCCGTGTTCTAGGCGTCGGCCATGGAGGTCCACCCCATTGAGCCCACTGCAACAGAGGGACTTGCCCAAGCAAGTCCAAGTGGAGTGGTGCAGCAGGCAATGGGGTGAGCCTGCATGGCAGGTGCCTAGATCACTGCGGCTGGGCATTGGAGAACTGGAGCAAACCTGGAGGATGGTAATTTTCACTGCAAGAAGCCTGCAGCCGCTGACCTTTGGGTTTGCTCTGCTTCTCCAATGCGCCACTGCCGCATTCTAGGTGCTGGCCACACAGGTTCACCCCATTGCCTGCTGCACCAGAGGGACTTGCTTGGGCAAGTCCCTCCGGTGCAGCAGGCTCAATGGGGTGGACTTGCAAGGCCGATGCTTAGAACATACCTGCAGCGATGCGTTGGAGAAGCGGAGCAAAGCCGGAGGTCGGTAATTTTCGCTGCAAGAATCCTCCACCCACTGACCTCCGCCTTGCTCCACTTCTCCAATGCGCTGCCGCTGCTGCATTCTAGGCGCTGGCCACACAGGCTCACCCCATTGCCTGTTGCACCGCTTTGCTCGGACTTGCCCTCTGGTGCAGCGGGCTCAATGGGGTGGACCTGCATGGCCAGTGCCTAGAATACAGCTGCTGCATCTTTTTGCCACTTCTTTGCTGGCTGGAACTGAGCCAGGAACGACTGCTGGAGGCTTTTCCTGCCAGCAAAGACTGGAGGCTTCTTGGCAGGGACATGGCGAAACTCGGTCGGGAGTCAGAAGGCAGTTCCTGTGCCCTACCTGTCCCTTTTTGGTCCCTACCTCTGCATCGAAGTACCTTAAAGGGACAAGCTGTGTGGCTGCCTTCCGAGTAGCAGCAGAACAAAGTGAAGGGAGGCAGAAAAGTTCACCCAAGTCTTCTCCTCCTTCTCAGGTATACGCAGAGCATGTACAATGCATCTCACGGTACCACAGGGACTCACCCATGTGCCATCTCCTTGCAGAAGGTCCCGGCCTCACATGTGTGCATGTGAGGTCCTGGGACCTTCTGCTAGGAGACAGCACGTGGGCTACCGGCTCGATTCCAGCTGGCAAAGAAGAAGCAGCTGGGACTCACCGCCCTGTTCTTCGCACTGGGGTGCACCTCATTGGCTGCTGCTCCAGAGTGGAGGTATTTGCCCAGGCAAGTCCCTCCAGTGCAAGTCCCTTCACATGTGCATGGCCAGTGCAAAGAACACGGTGGCAATGGTGGTGGGACTGAAACTCTTTTTTTGGCATGTTTGAAAAGCGGCGGCTGGTAGTTTTCAGTGCAAGAAGCCTCCAGCAGACGGCTGGGTTCTGGCTGGCAAAGAGGCATCAGCTGGGAGGCTTCTCACACTGACAAAAACAGGCAGTGGCTGCAGGCATCTCACAACAAGGGGGGTGAGATGTGGGCTGGTGGGGAGCCCAGTGGCTCTCAGCCCTGGCTTGCCTTCTCTGGCACCCAACCACGGGAGGAAGGTAAGGTTGCGGCCATGGATGATGAAAGAGGCAGTTATAGGGGAGGAAGTGAGGTGATTAAGGGCCAGGGCTTTTAAAGGAGGGGAAAATAGGTGATGCATTGCGCTTAAGGGAGAGCGGGTGGCAAGCGGGCAGTGGCTCCAGGGCAAGGCCGGAGCCAGGGAATCATGCATTCCCCGACCCAGCTGAGGCAGCTGGCTGCTCCAGGGCCTTGGAGAATAGCATGTTTCTGGGGCCCCGGCCTCCGACCCAAGCTGAAGGGTCAGCGGGTGGCATGCATTGCTTACCTTTGGTGAGCTGAGGTGACCGGGCATCAGCAAGACAATTGGCAAAGTGATTAGCTGGGCCATGTGGCGAAAGCAACATATATAGGGCGGGGGGGATTATCGAGCAGCTGGAAAAGTTGAGCGAGCATTGAGCAACCGGAAGGGGCGAGCAATTGGCGACCAGGCGACCTGGTCGAGGGCGTGGCCAACCAGAAGTCGCTACCGATTCGGCAACCCAGGCCAAATTGTTGTTACTGGTTGTCCTGAACTGGTTCGAGCCGGCTGAATACCACCACTGTTCTGAACTCTTGTTGGCTATTCATATTATATGATAGTCTTTTCAGTATAATTGTTTCTTTCAGTATTTGAAATCAGTTTGTTCCCTATTCAAACAAAGAATAAAATATTAATGAGTCTTTTGAAAGCATCACAGCTATTCTTCAAAATATTCATTTTTAATGGAAACCATAATTACAGTTCCCAAATAGGAGACATATTCTTTTGTGACTGAAGTTCCTTTTATTTTTTCAATAAAAAACATAGCATTATTGCTTAGTGTCCTTACCTGTTCAGTGTTTGAATTGTTTAGTGATTATTTTGTAACCATAGAAATTGAGTTTGTTTGTTGGATTTGTTTATGTGAAATAAAAGGATAGTTAGTCTATCCTTGCCCCATATTTTCCATTATATATTATGAATATTTCTATTACATATTATGAAAGTTTAAAGTTTTGGGTTCTTCAGAAACTATAGAAAACTGGCTGTTTTTTTATGTTAGCAATCATGTTTATGTCTGGATTTATTAATATCTCTTTTAAAATGTTTGAAAAATGTCATGCTGCATGAAGGTAATGACATATATTTAGTATAATTATATTTTTCACATGTTTTCAAAGTCATTGTGCTGAAACTGCAGTAAATCTTTCAATTAGAATAGATTACACTGAGTAGATTATTACTAGTTTATGTCAGATAAAAGGTTATTCATTCATCTAGTTTCTCCTTCAGCAAAACAAAACAACAGTCAGATGAGGAAAACTAAGGCAGATACTGTACATTCATTCAGTACTTCATCTATGATCTGAAAAAAGAGAGAAGAAAAATAGAACAGTTTTAGCTGTATACTTGAACTGTTTACTTCCAGTTCAAATATAGGAAGAGAAGCTGTTTATCAATAATGCGATAAAGAAAATTAAAAATAGGCAGATTTAACTAGCTAAAATACTGTGAAGTAACTGTTCCTTTGCCCAAGGTATCTATCTAAAGGGTTAATTAATATTTGTGACTTACTTAGAACAAGTGGACATGATAAGTTAAGTTTCCCTTAAAAGAGCAAAAGGAATTTTAAAAAAAACAGATTGTAACCTTGATTAAAATGGGGTTGTGGGAAATTAGTAAATGTATAATGCATACATTTCAGAGTATTTAGTATATACTTCTCTAATAATTTGGCCAATATTTACTATACTAATATCCTTTGGCATTCTGGATTATCACTGGAGAAATAGCACCATATAAGTACATTCTACAGCAATGGTTTTTGTAATCCCCCAAAATTTGCAAATTCAATAAGAATTGAAAGTATATCTTACTGTTGCTAATTTGCACAGTATTTTGTCATTCTGTGGAGAGAAAAAGCAAAAACTTTTTGTGTGTATATTAATACGGTGCTCTGGAAGTTTCATTCCAGGTTCTAAAACACAATTTTTTGTGTATTGAGAAAGGATACACAGCATGATTACTCCCCAAAAATTTAAAAGTAACAGATTAATTACGTTGCTGGTGGGATAAATAAATAGTAATATGGGCGGTGTGTTGCAAACAGAAAAAGAGTGGTATTAAGGTGTAGTGGATTGCAAAAGTAGCATGGAGAAGGATTAATGAGACTTCAGCATAGGGCCAAAAAAATCTGTAAAATCAGTTATCCAGCGAAATGAAGAGGACCTTGGGGAACAATAGGGATCACTTAATTTATAATATCTGAACACATTTGGAATTTCAAAAGCATCTTTGAAGTATTCTCACATAATAACCGTCAGGGTGGTTGGACTCGAACCAAAGAGATTCCAGTTCTAATCCATCCTCAGCCACAGAAGCTGACTTGGAGAATATGGACCAGTCACACTTTCTCAGCCAAACCCATTTCATAGGATTCCTATTGTGTGGAAAGATGGGGAAGAGCGTTATGCATACTGCTTACACTAGCTAAAATACTGTGAAGTAACTGTTCCCTTGCCCAAGGTATATAAAAAGTCCATTAATATTTGTGACATATTTAGAACAAGTGGACATTACAAGTTTCCCTTAAAATAGCAAAAAGACTTTTAAAAATAGATTATAATCTATTGCCTTGACCTGCTGTAGAAAAGTTGGGACGAATATCCAATCAGTCAGTTCCATTTTCCAGGAGGAAACACTATGTTGACTTTTTCCCCTTATTATTATCTCTTCAGGATACAACTATTCATTTTCCAGTGCATCTTTATCTTTTTCCTAATAAATGGGCATACCTTCCATCAAAGCAGTGTTCAATTATCCATGGTTTTATTTATTTTTTTAAAAAAATGATAATTGATAATATTGGAGGTAAAGATTATGTGCAGATGGCACTCTTACATTGTCAATGTGAATTTTTCATTTAAAATTATAGTAGTATTCTTTTAATTGAGTATCAGATATGTATTGGTGCCTTGCCATGCATTAAAGACAATATCCATATGTAGGTAGTAGATTCCTTAGCAGAAGTACTGTATTTGAAAGATCCTGATGGAGCATAAGAATAGAGCTTAGTCTGTAAGAGAAATGGTTAACTTTCAGTCTTACCCTGAGCAAAATAAGTTCAATAAAAATATTGTACAGATCTCTGGTATTTTTCTTCCTAAGTTTCTAAACCAAAAGGAACACTTGCCTGGGAGTAAAGCCTATTAATTTATTTCGCCTTACATATGATCAAGCACCATAATGCCAAAGGATGCTAGGCACTAGTGGACGGATAAGCTCAACACTCAAATCTAAATAGTTGAAGTAGGAGTTTCATGAGGAATGAAGTCCATGTACTACCAAGTATCCTGATCATTTGAAGGGTTCTGTAATATAGGCTTAATTTGGCATGAAGAAGTTTGGGGTATCTCATTTGAAATAAAATTCAGACAACCTTGACTAAGTAGAGAGTAGGCCATCAAGGGTGATCACAGAACAAAAAATGAAACTGTGAAAAAAAGAAGTTGAAAAATTAGAAATATTCAGTTTGAAGAATAGATAAGAGTTTTCATCGTATATTTGAAAGGATGTTACACAGATGGCAGCCAAGACTGGTCTCTAAAAACAGATTGGTATTATAGTATAGTAAAAAAATTAATTTTAAAAATAGACATCTATTCTATATACATTAATTTATTTTCCTGTGCAAAACTGGGAACTGAATTGCATTGCTTTAAATCACCTTGATTCAATGTTTACACATTTATACATTTATACTTTATACATTCTTTAAAATATATTTTGAATATATTTTCATGGTGTTTTTTTTTCAGGAAAGGAATCTTAGAAGAATACAGTCAGATCACCAGCCTTGTTACTGAAGAACTAGTAAATGTTCATAAAGAGATCCAAATATCTGTTGAACAATTAGACCCTGGTTCAGAGTACAGTAGTTTCATAGAAACTCACAGGTAAAATATTGGTGGTAGTGTTTTACTGCACAATAAGTAGGTTCTTAACAATGCAGATCATAGTAACTATGCTTATAGAAATAAGTCCATGTAATAGCAAAAGCGATCTGTGTGATTTAAATTGTCCAATTATTACAAATAGCTCTTTCACATAAATTATCTAATGCACACAATGACATCAGATGTAGAAATCTGGGTAAGTAATTAAATCTGTGCAGCATTCCTATTACTGTAATCTGCAAAATATTTTCCTCTGTTGATAACATTTTTCTAGTATTTCCTCAGATATTTTGCTATATGGATTGAGTTTTTGTTGTTGATATAAGACTTACAGATTAGAAAGTTTGGGTATTACAATTATTGATGCATAGGTTTTAAAAGAATATGCAGGACTGTTAAACTGCATGATTATTACTTGAGGCATTTATTAATTTTAGCAATTAAAATGTACTTTTTTATTTGTTTGCTTTTTAAGGGAATATTTATTTTAAATATAAACTATATGTTCAAAGACAGTGTTATTTATGGCTACTACATTTTTATTGATTTACAGAATTTACTTTTGAGTTTGCAATTATAAATGTGATATACATGTAAAGAAAATCAGATTTAATTTAGAATGGCAGGACATTTCTAGCAAGAATGGGTGCTTTATAATACTTTTACAAGCACTCTGGTTCTTTAATAGTTCCTTCCTTCTGCCACTGCAGTTCTTTCCTAGATATCTACTGCTGCAATTGGAATTTCACAGTAGAAGTTATACTGAGGCAGTAAAAAAAAAAATTCTGTGGTAGTTGACTTCATTTCATTTCAAAAATCTAAATGTGATTTACTCTGGCAGATTAAAGTGGAGGAGTCTGTGCTTTTGATTTGATATCCAGAACTTTCATACTTACAGATAAATTTCTTAATTGCCCATCTCCAGCAGAGAATGAATGAATGAATGAATGAATGAGAGAGAGAGAAACCGTTATAACAGAACAAAACACTCACGGGGTAGAGGAGAAAAATAAAATGAGAGTAGATACTGAACATTTACATAATATGGCATAGTTATGCACAGGGGTGGGATTCAAAAGTTCGCTGCCCGGTTGCTGGGTGGGCATGGCCATGGTGGGTGGGGCCTACTGGAACTTCCTGTTTCTGTATTTTGGTGGACTCCAGAGCCTATGGGAGGCAGTTTTCATCCTCCTAAGGGTCCAGAGGCCGCCTCCTCCAGGCTTCTAGGAGGCCCACCAGAAGCTGGAAATAGACCCATTTGGCATTTCTGGTTTTTCCAGAGGGGCCATTTTTCGTCCTCCCAAGGATCCAGCGGCCTCTCCTGGGCCTCTGGGAGGGCGAAAACAACTTCCCCTGACCTCTGGAGGCCCACCGGAAGCCAGAAATAGGCCTGTTTTGCCACTTCTGGTTTTTCTGGGAGGGCTGTTTTTTGCCCTCCCAAGAGTCCAGAGGCTGCCCTGGGCCTCTGGGAGGGCGAAAACAGCCTCTCCTGGGCTCTGGAGGCACTCTGGAAGTTGGAAACAGGCCCATTTCTGGACTTCCAGAAGGCCCGCTTTTCCCCCTCCCAGAGCCTCCTCACGGACCCTGCAGTTACCTCCATCGAAAATGGACCACGTGGAGACTCCTGGGAAGGGCTGGGTGGGGCCAGCCAGTTGAGTGAAACACCGGTTCAGCAAACCAGCTGTAACTTTAACATTCAGTTCAACCGAACCGGTCTGAACTGGTAGAGTCCCACCACTGGTTATGCCAGAAAGTATGATATAACTATAAAGTGATATCAGTTATTCAACTAACCTTAAATTACTATAACTTCCATGGCCAATGCTTCTTAACTTATAATTAATCTACCTAGTACAATGATCTGTGATGGAAGCTTGTTAGTCACTGCAGCCACAATTTTGAATAATTTCTTTTTTTTCCCTTTCTCCTGAGGAAGGGAAATCCTAGGAGCTCATCAGTTCTTTGAGTAGGTTCTTAAAAATTGCAGTCAGATAGTTTGAAAAAAGAAATGCCTAATACTTGCATTGTTATTGCTTTTTTTAACTAAAGGACATCAGATATTGAACAACAAGAAATAGAATTTGATACATCATTATTAGAAGAAAATGAAAATCTTCAAGCTAATGAGATTATGTGGAATAATTTAACAGCTGAAGGTTTACAAACCATGTAAGTAATTTAGCCTCTTTTTTTCCTTTTCAATTTTGGCTGTGTAAGATATAAAAATTGCTGAATCAGGTAAGATCTGTGTAATATGACTTTTTATAAGAAAGTTATAGCCATTCTCTTGTTTCTCTCTCTCTTCCTATTTTTCTTAACGATCACCTTGTATACAAAATAAAATATAAATCAAATTGGTTATGCTGTCAAAATTATTTTGCTTTCTTAATTTAAGTTTTAAGAAATGTGGGTCTATATTTCTTTTCCAAGAATTACATAAAAGAGTTGTGTAAAGATTGTGGCTGGATGATGGCTACTTTAGAGAAAATTGGAGAATAATGACAGTGAAACCTCACTATAATGGGCCACTTAGGAGTTCTGTTCCTTTTCAATGTCCATTTAATATTAAAGTATACCTCAGGACTACATAGGGCATTTCACAATGATGCTATTATGCAAATGTCACAAATTGTGCCATTTGCATCAATTTATTTCAACAGTGGACATCTGTTATTTAGAGGAAAGATGTGGTTGAAATTTGGTTGATTACATTTTAAATGGGATTCTATTAAATCAAGGTTTTACAGTATCTGGGAAGAGAACTCTATGGTACAGCAATCCACACATCAAGAAGAACATGTGCCCATAGGACATCTAAAACTGGACCAGCTTTGTATCAAAACAGTGTCTTAGTGAAATCATTTTTGTAGCTCTTTCTTCTGTCTGAATTATGTAATGCCTAGTACTCTTGTTTTACCGGAAGGCCCAGATTGTCTGTCTTGTTTTGACAATAGACTAGCTGTTCCATATGTAAAAACTAACTTGTAGTGAGAAGCAGTTGGATGTTAGAGGATATATTGGAAGGAAAGCTAAATTAGAAGATGTTGAATGAGATATGAGAAGTTGGAAAGGGAAAAGTTAAGGATAGTAACAGTGGAAATAAGATGAAACGTATTAGTCCTATGCTAGTTGGGGAGGCAAGCTGGACTGGAGTTGACTCTGGATAATGGCAGAGGCTTTGAAGTGTAAGCAAAGTTGCTGCTGGTTTATGTTTTGCAGAGACAGCTACAGAAGAAAGAGAGAACAGAATGATAACTGCCATTGTTGATCAGGCAGTCATACAGGAGAGACATGGAGCTGGCCCATCCAGAAAAATACTTAAAATTTGTGGCTGGAACAATATCCTGGCAAAATCAGTGAGAATGGTAGAGACCAGGACAAAGAGTAGAGAATTGTTTGCAAGGTTTGGAGCAAAACCCAGAAGAGTAGAAGACTAGAAGCTGTTATGACAACAGGTTCCTAAATACGTGTTTGGCTGGAGGAAAGAGGAAAGAGAGAGAACTAAATGAAATAAACAGCCGAGGGTTTTGTTTGAAAACATAGCTTGTGGACTGGTGATGGGCTATAATATTAGACTCCTTGGCTGATATGCTGCAAGGATCCCCTTTGAGTGAGAAAATAGAAGAGGAGGCCTTGCTTTACTTAATAAACAGGTAGGCTCTGGATGATTTATTTATAATAGGTAGTTGATTATGGAGAGAAAGAAAAATGGAGATGGTTATGATTTTGAATATGAACACCAAATGTAACTTAAGAGTTTATCATTTGCCTTGCTAATCTCCATTACTTTTTTTTTAAATAAAAATTTTATTTGGGTTTTCACAAAACATAATACAAGTAAAATTTCTTTTTTTGAGAATAGCATGGTCCCGGGTTATCACTTCTCCATGCAGACACAAATTCAATTTCATATTCATCTTTGTGTTCTATTCCATATCTTTTTTTTATTTAAGTTTTTATTGGTTTTTAAAAACAAATTATAAACAAACAAAACATAAAAACATCAAGCCATCTTCCATATGTATACATACAGTGTGCCGGTTGGTTTACAAATTGTTTTGTGCTTCTATTTCGTAGTCTTCAATTACAATTACATTGCATATAATCTCATATTTTCAATCAAAAATTAAATACCTTAGTATCATTATTAATGAATCATTTGACTATACTTTTATTCATTCATGTTTTACAAGATAATCATAATTTACTTAGTTTGTTTTATAATAGTTCATATTATCCCAAATCTATCCTAAAATCATTTTGTAGATATAATAAGAAAGAAGTACATCTTTATATATTTATTATTTTCTAAAAGTCTACATATTTCATTACTGTATTTTATTGTCTAACCATTGATAGAATAGATGCCAAATTTTATAAAATTGTTTATCCTCTTATTCTCTAATTTCAAATGTCAATCTACTCATTTCAGCACATTCCAATATTTTGTTAATGATTTCCTCCTGTGATGGTGTTTTCTCATTTTTCCAGTGTTTGGCAAATACAATCCTAGCCACTGTTAATACATTTACAATCAGATATTTCAAGTCTTTACTATATATTTCAGGTAAAATTCCCAATAAAAATATCTCTGGTTTCAAGTCTATATGTTTTTTTGTCATTTTTTCCAACCACATGAGGATTTTAGTCCAGTATTTTTTAGCATCCGCACAAGTCCACCACATATGGTAATATGAGCCAGGTGTCTGATGACATTTCCAACATTTTTCGGATTTATTCTTGAACATTCTTGCTATTCTTGTTGGGGGGAAATGCCACCTGTAAAACATCTTATACAAATTTTCTTTATATGCTGTTGACGTTGTCATTTTATAATTTTGAGACCACAATTTTTGCCATTTCTCTAAATCAATCCCATATCCAAAATTCTTCCCCCAAGCAATCATAGTTTCTTTAACTTGTTCATCTTCTAATTTAATTTCTAATAAATATCCATACAATTTTTTAATCACCTTTTCATCAGTACCTGTCAAAATCTTATCTAAATCAGTCAATTTATCATAGAAACCTTCCGTTTTAGAACCTTTATCGTACCTTGAATGTATTTGCGCATATGAAAACCAATTCATCTTTATATCTTGTTCCTCTAGTTTTTGTATAGATTTGAGTTCACCCTTTTCATTCAATATTTCTCCATATCTAACTGTTTGTTCCTTTTTGTATATTATAGGATAAGAAAATGCTTCAATAGTCGATAGCCAGACTGGAATTTTCAAATAACATTGTCTTTTAATCTTCTCCCAGTTTAATCACAGAGACTCCCGTATATAATGTCTTCTAAAATACCCCTGTGTTTTAGTTCCTTTATACCATAAAAAAGCATACCGCCCCAACAACAAATCATGTCTTTCTAATGTCAACAATCTAGTATTTCTTAGTGTTATCCATTCCTTAACCCACATCAGATTTGTAGCTTGATAATACAACTCCCAATTAGGCAAACCAAATCCTCCTCTAATTCTAGCATCTTGCAAAAGTTTTAACTTTATTCTCGCTTTCTTACCTTGCCATATATATTTCAACACAATTTTATTTAAATCTTCAAAGTAATCTTTTCCAAGCCTAATTGGAATTGTTTGAAACAATTATAAAATTCTGGGTAATATATTCATCTTGATTGTTGAAATTCTCCCTATTAGTGACAGTTTGTAAATTTTCCCATTTCGCCAGATCTAGCGCTATCTGCTGTTTAAGTTTGATATAATTATTCTCTTTTAGTGTACTACATCTTGCTGTCAAATATATCCCCAAGTACTTGATCTTATTCGTAACCTGAATTTTCAATAGGTCTGCCAGTTCTTCCTTTTGTCTTAATAGCATATTCTTTGTCAAGATCTTTGTCTTATCTTTATTTATTTTCAAACCAGCCACCTTTCCATATGACTCTATCTTTTCTATCAATTTTGGTGCTGTTTCTAGAGGGTCTTCTAAGATGAAAACCAGATCATCTGCAAATGCTTGCAGCTTAAATTCTTCCTTTTTGATTTTCATTACTTTTATATTCTTTTCATCTCTAATATTTCTGTTTAGCACTTCCAAAGTTAACACAAACAACAAAGGTGATAGTGGGCACCCTTGTCTTGTTCCTTTTCTTATATTGATAGAGTCTGTCAGTTCTCCCTCTATCATTACCTTTGCCGTTTGCTTATAGTATATAGCTTCTATTGCTTGAATAAATTTTCTAGCAAAGCCCATCTGTTCCAGCAGTAATAACATGAATCCCAATTCACATTATCAAATGCCTTCTGTGCATCTAGAAATATCAGAGCCATTTGTTTTTCAGGATGTGCCTCAAAGTATTCCAAGGTGTCCAAGTTTACTCTCATATTATCTTTAATTTGTCTCTTTGGCAGAAATCCATTTTGATCAGGATGAATAAAATTATTTAGCTATTTTTTAAGTCTTTCTGCCAATATTGAAGCAAAGATTTTATAATCTGCATTTAGTAAAGAAATAGGTCTATAGTTTTTAATTTGTAATGGATCGGCCTCCTCTTTTGGAATAAGTGTAATATAGGCTTCTGACCATGATTTAGGTATCTTCTTCTTTAACATAACTTCATTCATAACTTCTAGCAATGGAAGATTCAACGATTCTTGTAATGTTTTATAAAATTCTGCCAGAAGTCCATCTGGGCCTGGTGCCTTTCCATTATTTTGCTTCTTGAGTGCTTCAGTTAACTCCATCATCGTTATATTGCTTCCTAACCTTGTTTCAATCTCTTTAGGTATCTGAGGTAAATTAGCATTCTGTAAGTACTGTTTAACTCTTTCCTCATCAATATTCTCTTGCATATATAGTTTCCCATAGAAGTCTCGAATGATTTCCTTGTTCTCTTTACTACCATAGCAAACTTGGCCTTGGTCATCTGTTAATTGCAATATTTTCCTTGATTCTTTCTCCTTTCTCAATTTGTATGCTAACCATCTACCTGGTTTGTTTGCATCTTCAAAGTAGTTCTGTTTAGCACCTCTAATTTTCTGTGCTAATTCTTCTTTTTCTATTTGACCCATTTTATGTTTAACTATATCCATTTTTACCTTAATGTCCTTTTTCTGTGGCATTTTCTGTAGCTCTTTTTCAAGTCTTTTATACTCATCCTCTAAAGCCTTAGAGGCTAATCTTTTCAGGGTATTTCTTTTCCTTGT